AATGTTTCTCTGCTATTCATAGAGTTTTCAGTGACTCGTGATTCGGAAGTAGTTTGTCACTCTTTCTTCCTAGTCTGTCTTTGTCTGGAAGCTCATCTGAAATCCATCCACCATGGGTGACCCTGCCAGTTATTTAAAATTGCAGTATTAGATAACTTCTATTAAAGGAGCTATGTGTGGTCAGGGACCTCTGTTTTTAGCCATGGAACCTACGTATATAAGAGAATCAAAGCAGCTTGGTCAAGGTGGTCGTTAACTATAAGTTGAGGAAAAGATTTGTTTTCCTGCTGCTCCTCTGGTGTAGAACTTTATGTAGAATTCTAGAAATTACTGCCTCTGTTATACGGCACTTAACAACAACAGCAACAACGTGGGAGTGATGTGGACTGCTAACCACGAGGTTGGTGGTTCAAACCCACCAGCTTTTCTTCAGAAACCTCATTCAGGGTCACTATGAGTCAGAACTGACTCAGTATCACTTAGCAACAACATTGGTGTCATGAGTTATACATGGGACTGCTGACCCATCAGCTGGCGAAGCTCTCTGGCTATCTGCTGTTGTAAAGATTTGGAATCTTGGAAACCTACAGAGGCAGTTCTACTCTGTCCTAGGATCAGAATAGACTTGATTGCACCCAGTATAGTGTATACTTGCAGATCAGCAAATAAAAGGTTTTGGTGCTCTGCATAGAATCAGCATCTTGGAGTAGTCATCTGTGTCCTTCAGTCTGTGTTAGCTCTGTGCAGGACTTGGCAGAGCTGCACGGATGATGTCACTTTTTTCTGTTATGTGGGAAGCTGTTGCTTGATGAGTCGTGTCAATATCCTTTTGAAGAGAAATTATGCCCTCTCGACTTGAGGGTGGTATGCTTGGCATTGTTCTTAATTATCAAATACTTGCAGTCTAAGAAGATTAGCACCATTAGAGAAAGTACTCATGATGGGCGTGAGATGATGTGAGTTGAATCCAATGCAGCATTGAGAAGGATGAGAACAGCCTGATAACACGTTAAAGAGCTGGAGAAGGCAACATGGAGGCTTCATCTCTGTCAACAGTGAAGTTTGCAGGGACCACTAAGTTAAGGGTTCCTTGTCAGTACTGATCTGTGGTGTTCTCTCTCTTTTTTCCCCCAGTAAAATATGAAAGAATCAAATTTCTGGTAATTGCTTTGAAGAGTTCTGTGGAAGTCTACGCATGGGCACCCAAGCCATATCACAAATTTATGGCCTTTAAGGTATACACCAAGTATATTTAAAAGTGGTATCAGCCATGTTAGTTGTTAGGCCAGAGCATAACTGTAGAGATACTGAACAGTTACCAGTTGAGACTGTAAATGGTATTATATATCTTTGGAGTCCTGGTGTAGCGTTGTGGGTTAATGCGCCAGACTGCAAAGTCGGACTGCAAGGTCGGTGGTTCAGTCTCACCAGCTATTCCTCTGAAACCCTGTACAAGGTCTCTGTGGATCGGAACCAACTCAGCGGCACTTAACAACAACAACAATGCATAACTATCACAAAAGAGGCCATGTTTAAGGCCCTGTTTTCTTTTACTTCAGTGTAATTCATTTAATTCCCTGCTTTCCAGTCAAAGTGAGCAGGAGAGAGCTGAGTGCTGGGCGGATTCTGATCTGTGTCCCAACACGACAGCAGAGGGAAAGACAGAATGCCACTTTCACCCTCCATTGAATTTAAACAGATCTTCTACTAAAGTCATGAATATGGATCAAGAGTTAAAAAAGTTTTGGGTAACAAAACAGTACTCAGCAATAGAGAATTTTAAGGTATAGCTATATCATTGCAAATAATTAAAAATTAAATGTTAAAAAAAAATGACAATAAACTAGAAACTTGCACTAAATTTCTTAATTTAAAATGGTATTACTCTGACGTTCTTAAGTGCTATTGAGTTGCTTCCTACTCATTGGAACCAAGGAGCGACTAGTGGATTTGAATCACCTACCTTGTGGTTTGCAGTCTTGTGCTTATCCTACAGCACCATACCAGATCTGTGACCTTAAAGGTCATTGTTGTTGTTATTGAGTGCCATCGAGTCGGGTCCGACCCATAGCGACCCTGT